TATACTTGTTTCTATTCTTCTCAATTTTTTCTAATTTAAAAAAAAAATGTAACTCATCTGCATTGCATTTAACATATTTCTGTGCAATTTTATTTTTGCGCCACGTAGCATTGATACACCCATAAGCCATTTGTTTACTTTAAATAACATACATCTTGTGCCCGACGAGCTGGTAAAACTTTAGTAGGTACACGTATATGTACTAATTAACATAAATCTTTGTTCTGTATAACCACATCAAGCACTATTATGTTTACACACCTCAAGTATAAAATTGACTATTTATTTGCGTGTCCGTGCCTGCACATCAGCACGCGCGTATACCCTTGCTTATATCTAGCCGTTTAATTTTAAAATTTTAATTTTATATATATATAATGGACTCTCCCATCGGTTTCGACGTATGAGGATCTGACAGCTTATTGATTCAGTTATGAAATATTGTACGATAATCTTAAGTGGCATTTAAGACCCGCTAGGGATTTAAAAAGGAGGCCAAATATGTAGCAAGTGTGAGTATTGTGAGATGAGATCACTGTTAGATTGACTGACCTTTTAGATCTTGTTTTCGCTTCTTGAAGATGATTCAGACAAGCGGATTGAAAATTGCTGAGTTCACTAAAACACATTGATCTCCATTCTACGCGCTCTAATGCTAAGCGCTCAAGGGTGTTATGTGGTATATTGGCTGTGTTATGGTATATATATATATATATATATATATATATATATATATCAACATTGTTTTTTCTTGTTTCTTTCTCAGTTTTGTCTCTCATGTGCGTTGAGGTGAAATGGATATCGGCTCGGAATGAGAAATTGGAGATCCAAGATCGAATTCTGGTCTAGTTCTTTACATTCAGTAACGTACAAATACCGTTGGCATATGACTGAATCCATCTATTCTACCCGATCCCAGCTATGGGTTGAATTGCAGGACAGCCTGGTTTCTATTACCTTGGTTGGCAACCAGTCTACCTCGGAATGAAATGGCAACCTACAGCGCTAAAATCTTGAATCGAAAGAGACATGATCGCCCAAGTGTGTATCACGTGATGGCATATGACTGACTACTCTCCGGAAACAAAGGCGGCGGGGTCAATAGGCACTCATCTAACACACCAGTCACCAAAAATATCAAATTCTTTAAATGTGCATATTGAGCCTGGTAACAATACTATTACAATCGGTTATTATACGAATAGTAATAATAGTAATAAAATATTACAATAATATACATAAATATAAATATATATACATATATATATATATGTGATGTGTGTGTGTATATACATATATATATGTATGTGTGTGTGTCTGCGTGTGTATGTATGCGCGCGCGTCTGTTTATAGAATTAATAGAAGTAAAAAGTAATTTAGCTGATTGATGTTACCTTCAGCATCCCGACTCCAGAGGTTTTTTAGACGGAACCCTCCGTAAGCGTCATGTGGTGTGAACAATGGACTGCATATACTTCTCGATTTTTCTTTGATATATGCACTTTTCATTGGAGACAGTTTAGTTTTGTTTTTTTCATAGTGTATGTACGCATAGTTGAGTGTGTGTGTGTCCGTGTGCGTGCGCCCATGCACCCGTCTGGGCGTATGTGCGGACGTGTAGAATGGCGTGGTTATTTGTCCGTCGCTTTTGTATGTGTGTGTGTGTGTGTGTGTGTGTGTGTGTGTGTGTGTGTGTGTGTGTGTGTGTTTACTTTACGCTCATTCCTTATCCTTTTCTTACTTTTTCTCTTTTTCTTCTTTTCATTCAATTGTAGCCATTTTGACTTCCGATTTTCTAAATATATACTGATGTTAATTCTGCAACGTTCTAAAGTTTTCTTGAGTTCAGAAAATTATATATATATATGTATATACCGGGCGTAACAGCAATATTGTTCAATTGTTAGATTAACCTTTGAATCGTTGTATCTTAGAAATGATTAAATATATCTTACTGGAGTTCTCCGAAGTTTTTACAACACTATTGGACTCTACTTTGAACAAGAAGAATGTCTTTAGCTTTAAGTTGAAATGATGATCCCTCCTGATCCAGTTTTCCTCTCTACTCTTCCCGCCTTTTTAAACTAATTGACCGTTCGCTTGATGGTTCTTGAAAGGATTTTGGAGATGGAAGCCAGAGTATGAATGATGGTACCATTACTGAAGGCCACATTTCCTCTCACCATTGCTCAGTTGGGACGACATTGTGGGGCTGACACAAAATGATTTTAACTTGTTCTCTTTCTAGCTGAATAAGTCAAAAGGTGTTTCAGTGAATCTTACGACAAATGATGTCAAGATGGCTAAAAGTCATATCTGAAAATCTGGAAAAATAATAAATTAGTTTAGTGTTTTTTTAGATATTAAACATTTTGTTGGGTGGTCATTTATCTCACGCTGTCACACACGGTACTTGATGAACTTAAGTAAATGGATGGTGGAACAGGGTTTTGGAGAAATAACGAAAAGACAAAATTTATTAACTGCTACAAAGGACAGGAAATTGTGGAGAGCCATCATCGCCCACGTCGTGAGGAGACGTGGCACATAAATAACTGTTACACGAATTTACGTGTCTGTATAGGTGTTGTGAAGTTATTTCGCAGTGAAGGATTGTATTTGTACTAAGTCGGTCCTAAAATAGGTTCGACGTACAAAACGTTAAGAACTTGATATAATAGGTATAACGCAGAGTAATCTTGTGGTGGTCGCTGATATTTTCGTATTCGACTAACTGTCGTCCGACATCGACTCACTGACTGACTGACTGCCTCGTTACTCTTACTACGCCTACTTATTATAGGTGGGAGAGTCTATCAACTATAGAATAGGTGTGTTCCACCATAACAATCGGTTACCAAATAACGATAGTCTCGTCGGTCCAATCCTTTTTCCGCATTTTAAGGTCTTAGGAATATTCCCACAGCCTCCGGAAATACCTCTAATAATCAAGATGATCCGAACCTGGCATCTGATCTCTCTTCTAACCGAGCTTAAACAGCTCGATGCGAGAAAACTGAGTTGTAACATTCAACCAAGATCATATCATTTTATCACCGGTCAAAATCTGACTTTTCTCCAGTCGCCATGAACGGTTACTCTTTCAACGACTCCTCCCCCGTTTTGAAAGTCTTTTGGAACCTCAACTAGAAATCATAGCAGGGGTCGGCAACCCTTGGCATGCGTTCCAAATATGGCACACAGATGACTTCTTTCTGGCACGCGAAACTTACTCATTAGATTCCCTTTTATTATTTTCCTCTTTCATGTCTATCATTATCTCATGTATTTTCATTTTCTTCCTTTTACAGATTGTGCAGAATGTCACGATCATTTGCTAAGAAACGATGTCAATCAAATGAAGAAGATATTAGAGAATTTAAAGAATACTGGAATGAAAAATGTGGCATGATTAATAAAGAAAATAAAGCCTTATGCATTCGTTTCTAGGACTTCTTCTGGTAAGGGACAGTTTGAAAGTGTACAGAAGAACTTAAAACTGAAGAGGAAGAAAGAGAATGAATTTTTCGTGAACTGAGCAAGACAAAAAAACAGGCTGAAAATTTTATGAACTTTACTTCAGATAGGCCCAGTTCTAACTTAGTTGCTGATAGTTTTAAGATTTCAGAAATATTTGTTGGCACGTAGAAAAAAATTGTGTCACAGCTTTGGCCGGTTTTAGCACGAACTCTCAAAAAGGTTGACCACCTCTGATATATACGACCCATTGCCAAAGATTCTGGAAAAGTGATTTATTGATAACATATCTACATTTGAGCCGCTTAATCCTCACTTTTCACTCTGGATGGTCCAAACTCGTTTACACGGCCTTGTGGGGAAAGATCCGTTTTCCACCGTGAAGCCTCTTCCTCGCAGAACCAAGTCATTTCTCTTTCACTATTTCCATGGCAATTGTTTGGACGAGCTCCATTTCTAACGTCCACCAATTCTGCTGCTGGAAAATTTGATTCCCTGTGTCCTGATAGACAATTTGTCTCTCCAGAATTTCTCCTCCATATTTATAAATTATCATTCGTTTTACCTTTAATACTTCTGCCACATCTGCTCTAATGTTCCTATTTAGAGAATCTGCAATGTTATTGGACCTGACCTGCCGAGGTTAACATTGTATTGACCTGGGAAGTATCCTCTCAGGAGCCTTTTCTACAACTCTCGTAACCTAGGAAGGGTTACTGAATGAGGAATAGCCAAAAGAGAGGTTGGGAATGAAATGGTAATCATTATAACATCAACACAAATTTGAACTTCTCCTTCGTCAACCTGGCAGTGTGTGGTCTTGCTAAAACAAAGCCCGACCACAATTGACTAAAACAGGATACTCCTTCTTTAGTTTGTCGTACACTCTGTCTAACTGCCGCCAATAAAGTAAGCGTTGATGGCTCGACCGTGTGAAACAAGGTCAAAATGCAGTACTCCATGGAAATTCCACCGGACAGAGATCAAGATTTGTTTTTCTTTCCGCTTCCTAAACGAGTCAGGACTTTCTGGCCAACCTAATATAGATAGATAGATAGATAGATAGATAGATAGATAGATAGATAGATAGATAGATAGATAGATAATATTAGTGGTAAATATACACATACATATGCAAAATATATATACATATATATTTTTTGAATAAAAAATTCCAAGAGGATAGAATCCAGGTAGAACTCAATGTCCAGGACAGAGTAAGGATATAATAAAAAGGCTTAAACACTAATATTCCATGGTCATAATTTATTTCCGGAGCTGTTCTTTTCTGTTTTCTTTTTGAATTTGTAGGTCTGATGAATTGGGTCGTATTTACGATTCCGATGGAATAAATTATGACCATGGAATATTAGTGTTTAAGCCTTTTTTATTATATATATATATATATATATATATATATATATATATATATATATATATATTAGATCGATCAATCAATTAAGAGAGTTTAGAGAGAGAAAAGGGATGATAGATAAATATCTGGTTAGATAAATTGACCGTCTATGTTAAATAAGTTTCTTCTTTTTCGCCTTTGGGATCAATTGCTGACAGTTTTGTTCTGCCGATACTTTAAATAACGTTTTGCTTTGATCCATTCATTATCATATTTCATTTATTGATCTCTTTCTCTTCGGTCCTGCCAACAGCCTCTTCATTCTTTATCTATTCATTCTACCACCATTCATTTTTCACTATTGTCTCTCTTACTATTCACCCCCTCGTTGTCCTTCTCTTCCTCTTTATTTCCCATTCTTTCTCTCTCATTTTTCTTTGTTCCTATTCACTCTCTTTCTCACGTTTCACGCGATTCCCTTTCTCTTTTTATCGAATTCTTTCAGTTTCTCTCTTTTTTATCCTTTTTCTTAGCCTCGTTCTTTTACTCTGTACACACTACTTTTCTTTCTTCTCTCTCTCTCTCTCTCTCTCATTCTTTCTATCTATATATCTTCCTTTTCTTTCACTCTCTATTCTCTCAGATTTTTTCACATCTTTCCTTTTCTCTCAAACTTACACATTTCAATTCCCTTTCTTTTCTCCTCCATATTTTCTCTTTTTCTTTCTTTCTTTCTTTCTTTCTTTCTTTCTTTCTTTCTTTCTTTTATATCTCTTTATTTTCTTTCTTTCAGTCCTATTCTCATAATCTCCCTTTTTCTTTCTTATTATCCGCCTTCTTTCTTTCTTTCTTTCTTTCTTTCTTTCTTTCTTTCTTTCTTTCAATTTCTCTTTCCTTTTTCCCAGTTGAACCCTTCCCTCCTCTTCATCTCTACTTTCTTCTCTCCCCATTTTCATTATCTTCTCTTTACCTTCTACCTCTTGCTTTCTTTCTTTATTTATTTCAATCTTTCTTTATTTCTTCCTCTTCTTTCTCCCTTTTTCTTTCAGTTCCTTTCTTTTTTCTTTAGCTTTGCTTCAGTCCTGCTCTCGATCTCTTTTCTCGCCTTTCTTTCTTTCTTTCTTTCTTTCTTTCTTTCTTTCTCGACTGTCGCTATATGTCTGTCTGTCTCTCTCTCTCTCGTCACATTTTTCGCTTTTTTTATCTTTCTCTTCAAGTGCCTGGCTTCTTCTATAAGGAGTGGAGCAAGTTGGATTTCCTACACATAATTCCAATAATTAAGTATTATTATAAAATGAAACGGAAAAAAGGAAGTGGGAGCGAGAATTGTTTACTCAGTGTATTAGTGTATGATAGGCGGTGTGTGTGTATATATATATATATATATATATATGTGTGTGTGTGTGTGTGTATTTGTGCGCGCGCGAGTGATAGCCAGCTTTTTTGTTGAAAGTGTTCGGGACCATTCCAAGTACTCCAACAACGGTAGGCACAACTGCCGTTTTCCAGTTCCAAATTATTTCTACTCTCTTTAGGGGTTTAGATAATTTTCCCCTTCTTTCGATTTTATGTTTTTCCCTTGTTTACGATAACTACATTTTATCCTCTGGGATAAATTGTGTAAAAAACAAACCTCAAAATTCATGAGCATTTTAAGACTTTCTCGTTTGTGCATAAATCATTGATTTGCATGATCAAATCTTGGTTGCTTGCACAGTTCTCAGTGTATCACACTTTCTGCCCAATCACATCTACTTTTGCAATTTATGGAGCAAAATTAGTTTGAAAAGTTTGAAAATTAAACACCGCTTTTGAGTCGGCGGTGATGAAATTTTCCTGCTCGCTTTTTTTTTTACTAATCCGATTTGTTTACAGGATCGAACCCAAACCCTTTGTTATTTAATCATTTATTTATTCATGATTGATTTCTGTTCACTAAAGCGTCATTCTACGAATTTTCCCGAGACCTGGGGTAAGGTAGGTTATTAAATATGAACATTGTTTGCACATATTCTGATGTTAGGTGGTACTTAACTAACATGTACAATATTTGTATTTTCTTTACATTGCTAATACTCTCATGAGAAAATGGGCAGTTCCATACAGTGCGATTTTTTAATCTCTTGTAAACAGGATCCTCTAAGGATATTGTTCATTTGCTTATCGGAACCAGTTTTTTTATCGTGCCCAGTATTCCAAATATTATAGGTATGACAGTAGTTTAAAGTGCTACAGTCCTCAATTTTAAATATTTAAATTTACTTATTTCATATTCATTTCCTATTTTCATTAAATTTACTTCTTTTTTTTTTAATATTCTTTAACAGATGTATTTTATGTGATAGTCTTGATATATACAGAGTGTCCCCCAAAATTGACATCATTTAAAATGTGAATATCTGAGTAACTACATGACCCGGGCAAACGAAATTATACAGGCTTCATGTTGAACACGAAAAGATTTATTTATCAAAATTCAAACATGATATCCAAGGGGGGGGGTGTAGATTTTACAACCGATTTCACAAAGCTTCCCAAATGTTCAATATGTACACCACCTCTGACGGTTGTCCAACTCTTGTCAAACACGCTGTAGCATGCCTTGCCTAACATTCTTCAGTGCGTGCTTATCTCATTGAGAATCTACCAGGTCGATGAATCGGGCCTGCCAGTGATAATGACAGTGTACTGTTGAAATGGCCACCACATTCACCTGACTTGGCACCTAATGATTGTCTTCTATGGACCTATGTGAAATCCTTGACCGTTGTTGTCGATTTAAATTTTTCGGGTCGAGCCATCACTTTAACACCTCAACAATCCTTCACCAAACTGATATCAACAATCACTATTGTTTCACTCTGTCACCCTTTTGTCTCTCCCATATTTTCTTTATCCTTATAGACCCGTCTTCAAATGTACCTTTTTTTTTTCAAACAAATAGAAAAAAGGAATTGATGTGCAGTATTCGCAATTACTTTTATTAAGTATATATACTTAATAAATATATATATGATAGACATTATTAGGGGGATTTGAGATAATCATAATTAAGTAGAGCCTAGACGAAACAGAATGCACTGGACGACCTATTAGACCGGGTTTCAATTCTCGGTAGTAGGTGCGCATCTACTACCGAGAATTGAAACCCGGACCGTTCCGATATGAGGCAAACGTCATAGCAACTATACGAAAACGGACCTCAGTAACGAAGAGGTAACGAATTAGACTCGACATAGCGCTGCCCTTCACAAATTCCGTAGTGGAACTCATCCAAGTTTCCCTTACCCATAGGACTGTACCCCCAAGACCCGCGACTACTATCCCCAAGCCGCCCCAACTGGAAAATTAGAAGCCGGTTCAAGCAAGGATATACAAGTGATAGAAATTATTAGGAGGATTTGAGATAATTATAATTAAGTAATTCATCGAGTCTAGAAGAAACCTCAACAGAATATATATATATATATATATATATATATATATATATATATATATATATATATATATATATATATATATATACTGATCGATTCGTTTTCTAGGGTTTATCAATCCATCGCAAGTCATTTAAAGCCAGAAAATATTTTAGATTGTAATAATCTTGGAAGGGATAATAATGGTTTTAGTAATATAAGTCTAACTAATAAACCAATAGTTGGGGAAGAAAGAGGTGGACTCCTACATTTCCCAAGGGTATTTACACCTAAGTGAATATAGCTGGAATTGGAACACTTCTCGCCGATTAACAATTCCGAGGCATTATCCATTACACCACCCTCACATCCAAGTTTATCTCTCCTAAACCTTGTTTCGCCATTCATTTACTCAAGCTAATAGGTTATACTTTGTTTTCTTCTGTTCCTCTTGCTTTTAATTTGTCCTGTGAGTATCAACTTTTACAAGCCTTCTTTTCTCATTATGTGCCCTAGAATTATCGACTGTTTCTTGCTGAAAGTGTCCTTTTTTTGTTTCCATATTCACAGCATCTTTCTGTTGTACCACATTTCTATATTTCGAAGGATTTGGGATTCCTCAATACGGAATACTGGGGGTGGGGAGAAGAAGAGGATTCATACCTTTCCCAGGGTTATTAGCACGTAAATGAATATAACGAATTCGACTGGAATTCGAACACGGCTCTCTGATTCCTCAATCCGAGCCGCTATCCATTTACTCCACCGTAAACACAGTGAGAAAAAAAAAGGGACGTTAATTTCAAACGCGGCTGTCCAAAATATCACGTTTTAAACAAATAAAAAATAAATGCAATATGTGAACCGCTAATAAAGTAAGAAAGCCAAAGAACAGAAAGTCTAGCAGCAACATCAGCAGCAGTCAAAACAAAGGCAGCAGCAGCAGCCAAAACATGACAGCCAGCAGCAACAGCCTAAGTCAATTATGTGCCATGCGTGATACACGCTTAGGCGATCATGTATCTTTCGATACATGACTGATGTGGCAGATTTTTTCCCGCAGTAGGTTGCCATTTCTTTCTGCGATAGACCAGTTATTGGTGGGGAGAGAAAAAGAAAAGGAGTCATACCTTTCCGAAAGGTATTAGCACGTAAGTGAATGTAATGGATTCGACTGAAATTCGAACTCGGCTCTCCGATTCCGCTATCCGTTACTCCACTGTGCCTAAGTTTACTTCAGCAAATTATCCTACGTAACAATGGCCTTCAGTTTCTGAATTTGGGTCGGACAGTGTTTACTTGCATTCAATGGAAACGGGCGAGCAATAACTCAACAGTACCAAGTAAAATAAGAACTATTGGTTTGGTGCATAATTATCAGGCGTGTTTGTAGGCGAGTTATTTGTTAATAAAAATTGCAGCTTGTTTACTTTTTTAATAAAAAATAATATTTTATTTTCAGGTTATAAAAATGAGTGTCGATAATCATACGCTCCGTAATAATCATTTAAAAATGTTATTGTTGAATTGTTAGGTTTCTTTTTTCATAATAAATATTGTTTTAAAAAAGCCTGATAATTATGCACTAACCCAATAGATATGAGCAGTGTATTCGCATAAATTATCTAAAGGGTTTACTTCAGAATTTCCTGTAAGTTACCCTATATATATATATATATATATATATATATATATATATATATATCGATATGCACCTGAGGAATAACACCAGCAAAGATGTAGCCAATAGTCCGAATATGAATAGTGCAAATAATGTATATATATATATATATATATATATATATATATATATATATATATATATATATATATATATATATATTTTTTTATTTTTTAAGACATTTTTAATGTTTATACGTTCTTTTTATAGATAAAATATTTAAATGTAAATGCCTGTTTATAACAAACAATATTAACAACAACATTTACCGGCCTGAATGTCCGGAAAATTTTCATAGAAAATATGCGTCCTCCGACCTCCTATACGGAACCGTCATATAGCCTGAGCGGTCGGTTAGCAAGGTCGATTTTACTGTAAACAGTAAAATCGACCTTGTTAACCGAACGCTCCTCTGTGGTCCAATCTGTTAAGGCACGTCAGGCTATATGACAGTTCCGTATAGGATACAGATTCGATTCCTATCGGAGGACACATATTTTCTATGAAAATTTCTCATACATTCAGGCCGGTAAATGTTGTTAATACTGTTTATTATAAACAGAGTATTTACTTAAATAGTTGTATGTATAAATAGAACGTATAAACATAAAAAATGCCTTAAAAAATAATTGTCGGACTTTGTCCATTTCATAATGTGTGTGTGTGTGTGTGTGTGTGTGTGTGTGTGTGTGTGTGTGTGTGTGTTTATTTGTGGAGGTAGCAATCCCTCTCTAATACATGTTTCGTTAAAAATGGCTGAGGAGGAGCTTCCGTTAAGATTTTTCATTGTATTTTTCTTGTACTAGAATTTTTTTGCAACACGCTGACGTATGTTGAAATCGTCCCAGTACATAGTACAGTTGAAATTATCTCTAAAATTTTGTGTCGAAATTTACAAACTCCACGTCACGTTCAATTTCGCATACAAATCGATGAAATACAAAAACTTAAAGAAAAGATATTCAAAAAAACAATATTGCATTTTAATTAGATAAGTATTTGTTATTTTAATCTTTAAATTGTTTTTAAAATAGTGGGAGTATTTTGTATGTTAAATAATAAAACTTTTAATTTAAAAAAAAATTAATGAAAATTTATTGTATCAATCTATGCACCCTATGAAAGCCAACTGTATTTTGTACCCCTTTAACCGTTCGCACTTATCGCCAAA